ATTGATTCCTTCTCAAGAAGCCACTTTCTTTGCTCTTCTCTTAAAGTTTTATCACAAGATTGAAGCAATTCAGTCACATTTTCGTTTCACTTCCAATTTAGTCCTTTACGATTTCCACCGCCACTGCAGTCACTTCCTCCACTGAAGTCTTGAACACTTTGGAGTCATCCATGAGGTTGGAATTAGTTTCTACCAGTTCTTACCTGACCCCAAATCGTTATGAAAGTAATGATCACAGATCACCTGAACGGATACAACAATAATGAAAAAGTCTGAAATACTGCTAACTTCCTAAAATTCAACACAGAGAAACAAAGTGAGCACATGCTATCAGAAGAATGCCACCAAGAAACTAGCTCAACTCGGGGTTGTCACAAACCTTCAATTTATAAAAATGAAATATCTGCATAATAAAGTGTGTGGTCCTGCAGAGAGAAAATGGCATGTTTTCACTCCCTCCCAGGGCTTTGGGGACCATCAAGCTTCCCCCATCTCTCCTGTAGCAACCAGAACGCTTTCAACTGTTGCAAGTAATAAAAAACACAAGTGGAAGTGATGCGAATCATAACAATATTAAAAATAGTTTTCCCTTTTTTTTTGTTTGTGAGGCAGATGGCATGTGTGCTCACCAGAGAGAGACAGAGAAAGAGAGAGAGAGGGAGAGGGAGGTATGGTACACACAGTGGGACAAGGTCACATTGCACTTTCTTCTCCATTTCTCTATCCTGTTGGGATTTGGGGCATACATGCACACATGCACGTGCCTGGTGTGCATATTTTTCAAGCCTCCAGGGCTGGGATTCAAACTGCATGGTGCTGCTGATCATCTGAACCTTTGGTGAGTAGAAGGTCTTTCCCTGATGTTGATGGCTGCTACCTGATGAGGGTAGTGATTGCTGAAGTATGGGGTGGCTGTGGCAATTTCTTTAAATAAGACAAAATGTGACCAGCCACTGGTGGTGTCTGCCTATCATCCTAGCTAACTGGGAAACTTGGGTGGAAGAACTGTGGCATGGTGAGACCCTGCTGAAAAATGTCAGTCTTTCTCTCTCCCTCTCTCTGTCATTAAAAACGAAAAAAGGACAATAAAGCTTGCCACATGGGTTGCCTCTTTCTTTCACAAGACATTTCTCTGTAGCATGTAATGCTGTTTGATAGTATTTTGCCCACACTGAAACTGCTTTTCAAAATTGGAGTTAATCCTTTTCAACCCTGCCTCTGCTTTATAAATTAGGTTTATGTAATATTCCAAATCTTTTATTGTCGTTTCAACAATAGTCACATCATCTTCACCAGGAATTGATTCCTTCTCAAGAAGCCACTTTCTTTGCTCTTCTCTTAAAGTTTTATCACAAGATTGAAGCAATTCAGTCACATTTTCGTTTCACTTCCAATTTAGTCCTTTACGATTTCCACCGCCACTGCAGTCACTTCCTCCACTGAAGTCTTGAACACTTTGGAGTCATCCATGAGGTTGGAATTAGTTTCTACCAGTTCTTACCTGACCCCAAATCGTTATGAAAGTAATGATCACAGATCACCTGAACGGATACAACAATAATGAAAAAGTCTGAAATACTGCTAACTTCCTAAAATTCAACACAGAGAAACAAAGTGAGCACATGCTATCAGAAGAATGCCACCAAGAAACTAGCTCAACTCGGGGTTGTCACAAACCTTCAATTTATAAAAATGAAATATCTGCATAATAAAGTGTGTGGTCCTGCAGAGAGAAAATGGCATGTTTTCACTCCCTCCCAGGGCTTTGGGGACCATCAAGCTTCCCCCATCTCTCCTGTAGCAACCAGAACGCTTTCAACTGTTGCAAGTAATAAAAAACACAAGTGGAAGTGATGCGAATCATAACAATATTAAAAATATTTTTCCCTTTTTTTTGTTTGTGAGGCAGATGGCATGTGTGCTCACCAGAGAGAGACAGAGAAAGAGAGAGAGAGGGAGAGGGAGGTATGGTACACACAGTGGGACAAGGTCACATTGCACTTTCTTCTCCATTTCTCTATCCTGTTGGGATTTGGGGCATACATGCACACATGCACGTGCCTGGTGTGCATATTTTTCAAGCCTCCAGGGCTGGGATTCAAACTGCATGGTTGGCCATGTGGGATCTTGTTCCCTTAACCAGTAGGCTAGGGGACCAGACCACAAAAGAATATTTATAATTTTGTCTGCAAGTAGCATGGAAGCAGGTGATTTCAGGGTTGGTGCAGCGGCTCCACCATGTCATCAAGACCCAGGTGCATCCCCTTTGTCTATTTTGCATTTTCTGCATTTTGGTGATGTCTCTTCTTAAGGTCATGGCCATAGAAGTCCAAAGTGCTGGGCTGACATTTCTTCATTAAGTGAAGACAAAGGTACTATTTAGAAGAAGAGACTTCCTCTTAGGTTCCTTTGGCCAGGATTAGATCATATGCTCATTCCCAGCAGCAAGTGGGAGCTGAGAAAGTAGGTGGATGCGTTTTTGTCTTTGTAGTGGTGATGGACATTATGGTAAGGAAGAAGCGTTGAGGAGATGCTTGTTGGGTAGGCAACCATGTACACTTGCCCTATTTCTCTGTTTGATTCTCCAAACATTAGATCCAGTAGGTCGCAATGTCCAGCTAGTCCAAGTTTCACTCATATACTCTCAGTTTGCTTCCTCTCTAGTTTGGAAGCTGTTGCCAGAATATGGAAGTTCCTGCTCCTAGCTCATGGTACACCACCTCCCGTCATGACTTTTTATCCTGTTGGCCGGCTGGCCAGAGCTGGAATCAGTGTGTTGGCAGCCTGACTTGTGACTCCAATACTTGTTCCACTCTTACCGTCTCCTTGACGCTGTCTCACTGTCTTTCTACTGCATATGTATACAATCAGCTCCATCCCCCATCAACACACTGTGAATCCTGTCTTCAGGCAGGTAGATATAGCCCTTTAGGGCTGATCTTAGTATGGTCCAGCAGTGCTTTGGGTGGTTTCTTTCTTTAACCTCCTTTCTCATGCGTTTGAGAGGTCATCATTTACAACAATAACTAACTCATGAGCGTGTACCACTGTGATTTTCCTTCCAGTGCACTAGTTCCTAGGAGAGCCTGTGTTATTACCCATATTGTGTTTCTGGCTCATCCATTACAATTACATTTGGTAATTTGGAACAGACCTGATTTAGATTTACCAAATAGAGGTTTGCTTTTTCTCGTGTAAAAAGAAGTGTGAAGGAAGGTGGGCTAGATCTGATACCCTGTGCTCACAATGCTATCAGGGGCTCAGGCTTGGCTTTCCTTCCTGCTTTGACATCCATGCTGTGTGGCTTTTGTCCTCATAACTGCAAGGTGATCGTTTCACATACGGAAATTACATTTTTTATTTTCCAAGCAGGAAGAAGGGGGAGAAAGAAGCTCAGTAAAGTCTAAAACTCTCTTCCTTCCTCCTTCTTTCCCTCTCTTCCCTCTTTCTTTCCTCCTTTTCTCTCTCCCTCCCCTTAATCTGTTCTTTGTTAAATAAGGTAGCAATTAAGCTTTCCTAGAAACGCTGGAATAAGTTTCTACTTCTATCTTTTTGGCTAATTTCCCAGCTGCTGTGGAATGAAAATGAGATAAAATGGCATATCACCTAGTAAATTGATGTCCTCTTAGGAAGGAGGATGAAAGAATGAACACTGGGTTGGCAGCTGACAGTGTCTGCTATGGAAACCCATCTCTCAGGTCAGGCAAGGTCTGAGGGAAAGGGCAGTGCACCAGAGAGTCATGGAAACTCCCCATTGTCCACATCCCACCAGGCACTTGATCCCCATTTGTAGAGGATGCCTTGCAAATATACCAACTTTCCCAGAATACTGGTACATATTTGCACAGGGGCGTCCACATGTTCTACAGGATTCCTCGGTTTTCTGTAAGGCCGAGTATTCACTTGTGACTTCTCCCTTACATCCCCTCTTCCTTCCCTCTTCCTTTTCTATCTTTCCTTTCTTCCATGAATATGTGAGTCTTTCATTTACATTTTTTTTAAAAAAACAGTATATTTCTTGAGGGAGAAAGTGAGACAGGCACCCCAAAAGGATGTTCACACCACTATTCACTTCTGGTCTCAGCCCAGATCACAGGGACACATGTGTGTGCCTTGTGGCTCAGGGAGATACCAGGATGCAAACCCAGTACCTTTCCCATGTAGGTCCAGTTGTGTCATCACTCTGCCACCGCCTGCCCCCTCCCCCAAGTTTATTTCTTCATGGGACAGAGAGAAAGGGAGAGAGACAGACAGAGTCAGAGAGACATACAAATGAATCCAGTGTGGTCTTCATGCCATGATCAACTCCCAGTCTCAGCCAGGCAGGATGATGGGCATGCATGCACATATAGTACTCAGGGAGACCCTGGCATGTGGGACCTTCCCTTGTGCCCTCAGGATTGTAGAGTGTTGCCTTACCACCGGCCACATGGCGGGCCATTGAGTTCCTAATTTGTTCAGATTAGTGTACCCTAGTACAACGAGGGACATGGGCAGGTGCTGCTTCCTCCTCTGTTGAGCAAGTACATTTGCTGGCCACTGGATGCCAGACAGGAACTGCCATGTGTAAGCCTCACCTGTTTGGAAGCAGCCATGCAGGAGATGTGTTCTTGTGGTTTGCAAAGAATGAAAGGAATTTCTAAAAGTTGCATTTTGACAGTCTTCCATATTTGTGAAAGATGACTCTGAGAGGAAAGACATGAGCCCTGCATCTTCCTGAAGGACTGAAGCCAACCCTGATCATCCCACTGTTCGCTTGTTATGGCAGCATAACAAATATTTAATCTCAAGTTTGTTTCAGAAAGTTCTTCACCTGTAGATGAGAGTGATGTGCATGAGATCCAAATTACGCATGAAAAAAAGTAAAAAGTCGGTATCGGCTGGGGAATAACCAGGAACAGCTATTAACCTTTTCTCGCGGTGGGAGAGTGGCAGCTGAAAGTGTAACTGGCTGCGCCCCCGCAGAGCCTTCCCGCCGCCCTTTGCCGCCTCCTCCACCACGCAACCATGTCCGAGGAGAAGCCCAAAGAGGGAGTGAAGACAGAGAACGACCACATCAACCCGAAGGTGGCCGGGCAGGGCAGCTCTGTGGTGCAGTTTAAGATCAAGAGGCACACCCCACTGAGCCAGCTGATGCAGGCCTACTGCCAGAGGCAGGGGTTATCCATGAGACAAATTAGATTCAGGTTTGATGGGCAACCAATGAATGAAACAGACACTCCAGCACAGCTGGAGATGGAGGATGAGGACACTATTGATGTCTTCCAGAAGCAGACCAGGGGAGCATGGGAGACCAGCTGCCTGTTGATAACAGGAGTTGTGAGGTTTTGTGGGTTTGTTTTGTTTCAGTTTTTGGTTTCCCCTCATTTTCAATATTTCCAAACCTGTGGCCTGAATGTCGGCCTTTAGTTGTGGGTTGCGACTGCCCTCCCACTACCATCCAGTCATGTAGAACGCTTACGGGCACTTTAGTGGGAACAAGTGTGGGGGCCTGGTGGGGATAGGAGGCAGAATTTCACTTCCTGTTTGTTGTTGGCATGTTCTTAACTTGCTGAATAAATTGCTGCGTATTGTAAACTTCAGCTTTGTCAGCATATGTTAAAGTTGAAGGGAAAATATTGGGCTGCTTCTAAAAGGTGGAAAACACTTGAGCCCCTCAGTAACATAATTCTGAGTGCCCTCTGCCAGGTGTGCCCTTGAGTGTGTCCTCAGAAGGCCTGAGGCCCGGGGCCCACACACCCTCACCACTCTTCCCTGCTCAGAACCTGAAATGTGTACATGGGCCAAGGTTGGCATAACAAAAATTGGCGTTTTCCTTTTTCTTAATGTAGGAGAAAGTCATTACCATATTTCTCATTTGGTAATACGTTGTGGCCTCAGAGTTCTTCTAGCATTTGCTTCTGATGGACACTTATGGTCTACATATAAAAGAGTAAGGTGAAGTATTCTGAATTTACAGTCACATTGTTGTGTAAAAGAGCTGCTTCCAAGTGTGGTTACACGGAAAGATAACGTCACGTCCTTCTCACGGCCTCGTGCTATGTTGCTTTCCAGATGTGTATCAAATTACGCATTCGTATGGTGATTTTCAGTCCTGTGAAGTATTTCAAGATCTATACAATGAAAACTTTTCATAGTTCTGCCTATTGTCCTTCTGTAAGGATCCATTGCTGCTCAGTGGCCATTTTCTGCCTTTTCATAGTTGCTCCAATGACGACCCATCCTCTCGCTTGCTTGAAGTCTTGCCGAAAATGTTTTCATCTCTGGGGGCTAGGGTGGGATGTCTACTGGCTCTTTTGTGTTATCCACTAATTTATATGTAATATGTTGTCCTTTACTACTGTCAACAGTAAATAAAGTTTGGTATTCTGTCAAAAACCCCCACATTTTCTCTTATTAATAACCACTTACATTTATCTAGCAAGTTGTACCTCTTGAAATAATATATATTTGATCTCATTTGATCTTTACAAGAATTTTACTGTAAAATCCATTTTATATTGTGTATTGAAATTTTTACATCTCTTTTACTATTGCCTAACAAAGCCAGTAAAATGTCCACAGGCACTGAATATTAATACCTTAGAAACACTAAACCTCAAATATTTTACTTTCTCCTTTTACTGCCATATGATCCTACTTTCTTTATTTCTTCTTCTTCTTTTTTTATTTTTTTTTAAATTTACCAGAGGGTGTGTGTGCTTGTCAGAGAGAGAAAGTGAGAAAATACCCCCATGGGGGTAGCCATTCCACAATCCCTTCTCTTTAATTTCTTCATCTTTCTAGGATTTGGGCACAAGCACGTGCATGCACACACTTGTACTGTAGTTTTCAAACCACCCAGGTGGTTTCAAACCACCATGGTCCAGGACTTGAACCATGTAGTTAGTTGTGTGAGATCCAGCTGCTTTAACATGACCTTCTGACCTGATGATTCTGTTTTTTAGGTGTGTTTTTATGACTCTATTTCCCCCTGAACTTCACACATTTCTGCTACTCCAGAGCACCCCCTTCTCCGATATTCTTGTCTTTGATAGCCCATAATACATTTTATTGTTTGTTTTTGCTGTTTGAGTGTTTAAAGGCAATTTTATTGAGGCATAATTAACATACAATAAACCGCACATATTTCAAGGTTTTGACATATATGTAAACTCATAAAACCAACACCATAGTCAATATAGTGAACTTACCTATTTATTTAAACTTCTTTCGGTTGATCTTTATTATTTGCGATCGAAAGAGACTTAACTAAGATAGCGTTTTATTGAAATGTCTGGTTCTCCCATACTTTGTAGAAAACTCTCCTCCTGGCACTATAACCTTGGGGCTGTCAGTCACTCTGGACTTCAGTTTTCATGAATGAACTCATGGCTCTTGCCTCATTAGCTCCTGTATCTCTTTCAGCAAGTTCTTCCATTTTATAAGGCAGTTGAAAGAGCAGTTTGGAACTGGAAGACCTGAGGTCACATCTCTGCCTTGCTTCTTTTTAGATTTGTGAATTTGATACTCACGATACAGATCTCATAAAGTTGTTCAAGGTCATATGAGAACTGCTTTAGGTAACAGGGTGTTATAAGGAAGGTTTCTATCTAGACAGTAAGTCATAATATATTGTATTCCGAGATCAAATCCACTATACGGACAATTTACAAAGAAAACATCCTCTAACTGGCCTGAAGTCTCCTGCTCTCCTTACCTACTCAAAGACAATAAAAAGAGTCAAGAGAGGGGATAGAGATGGAGAATGTGTGAGGGAATTATTTTCTTGGAAGAAAACTATTACCATGCCTCCATCACCCAGTGGAAGCAGGTGAGTTTTGTGAGATTCTTTTCTTTTCCAAAGGGTGGATCGAATAGAGGTGCAGTAGTCAGAAAACATGCTAGGCATTGATGCCTTGTTGTTTATTGGCTGAGTTTAGAGGGAGCTCACAGAGCTCTTAGTAGGCTTGCAAAGCTCATAGCAGTGCTCATAAGTGTTTCTTCCTTCTTGGATCTAGAAATGCACATGGAGAACAGTCACAGAGTGGCTTCCTCCCTCTGGGAGCTCACGGTACACAGAGTTCAGCTGACGTCAAACTAAGCCAAGGCCATCAGGACTCACCAGCCTGAACCATGTCGAGCAGAGCAGGGCTAGCTAGCAGGATAGGGCAGCACTAGCTGACCAGGTGCTCCTTTCTTTCTCTCTCTCTCTCTCTCTCTCCCTTTTTCTTCCTGTTTTTGAGAAGCTTTTGCTACAGGGTGTATGTACTCACCAGAAAGAAAGTGAGAAATAAGACCACCCTAAGGAGGAGGATAGCCATGCTGCAATCCCTTCTCCTCCATTCTCCTGTTGGGATTTTGGACATGTATGCACACATACCCAATGTGAGTTTCAAGCTGCTGTATTCAGGACTTGAACTGAGGTTGGCCAAGTGGGAGACCAACTGCCTTATCCACCATGCCACCTGGTGACCCCTAGGTGGTCCTTTCTCTTAAAGGGGCTGCACATGATAGTGGCTTATTGCCAGATCCAAACTGTAGCACACACACATGCATGTTACATGTAATGGCATAAAATACCAAAGTTGTAATTACATAAAAAGTGCACAAGCACAGTAAAACTAATAATGTGTTTAGCCTGTGGCCTTCAAACATAAGACAGGAGGTGAGGGAGCCAGACTGACTCTGCAATACAAGGTGACTCCAAGGGGCCAAGGGGTCCACCGGGAACTTGTTGTCTCTCCCCACTGTTGGGGAAGCACTGACTTGGTAGTGCCTGATTAGTCTGAGAAGACTAAAGAGGCCTGGGGGCAGTGGGATTGGGTAAGGCAAGGATCTAGGGGACTAAGACTGTTTAAGGGTTCCTGGGGATCAGAAATTGACCTCATTGGAGCAATAAACAGGCAAGAGTCACTCAGCATCCTGTGTGTCCCTAGAGATGGTAAGGGGAGAGCCGAGGAGGCCCCAGCAGTCTGTGTGGGCAGACTGCCATGTCCATGGGTGACAGGGAGCAGTCCTGGGAGGAGTAGAAGGGAGGCCTGTATGGCGGGAGTGGGGCCAGAGAGGTCTGACAGAGTGGACTCCAGTGAGCTCAAGGAAGCTCCTGTAGGGATGGAGTTGCTCTAAATGTTCACCTGCCAGTCCATTAGAACCAAAGCTATCAGCCACAAAGCAGCTTCCTTGTCCCTCCTACCTGTGCGTTCTCTGTATGCCAGCCTGGGAGCAACCTTACTCCACCTCCAAGGGGTTTCGAAGGATCAGAGAGAAGATACATATAGTTTTTATTTTTATGTATTTTATACATATGTATTTTTAAATTTGCCAGAGAGTGCATGCACTTACCAGAGAGAGACAGGGGGTGGGAGAGAGAGAGAGAGAGAGAGAGAGAGAGATAGAGAGAGGCGCCAAGAAAAACCCCCTCTTCCCACATGGATGGGCATACTACAATCACTTCTCCCTCAATTCTCCCTCTGTTTGGGATTTCAGGCACACACACACACACACACACACACACACACACACATGCACACACACAAGCCTGATGTTCTCAAGCCACTAGATCAGGTTTCAAACCATGTAGTCTGTCACATTGGATTTAGCTGCCTTAACCACCATGCTACCGGCGGGTCTTCTCATTTTTGAAGGTGTCTTATAATTTTTGAATAGAAGATGTTGCCTAAGAGTGAGCAGAAAAGTCATAAGATCTGACCATGATTTTATCTAGAGACAGGTGAAAATTACTGCTACATTTGAAAGGGAAAATGAAAGATAAAATTATGTTCTAAAAAATGTTTGCTCACCATCCAAATATCTCTCTTAAACTACAAAACATCATCCAAATCCTAGTTACCAGGCTCAATACATCCTCTACCTACTTCTTGGCTCTTTGCACATTCGAAGACTCTGGTTCTCAACTTCAGGCTGCATTGAATTGGAGGACTTGCTAAAGCACAGATTGCTGGACTCCACCCCCAGAGACCTGGATTCAGTGGCTGGGAGACCAAGAACTTGCATTCCTAACAAGTACCCAGGTGAGACTTGGTGGTCAAGACTGAAAGACTGGAGAACATAAAAGTGTTAAAAATTGTAATGGATACTAGAGAAGAAGTGGAAAGAGAGTGTGAGAGGGAAAAACGTAGATAGGAAATGTGGGGGAAAATGGAGAGGTGAGACACTTGTGGGACACAGATAAGGTTATTTTCCATTGATGAGGATGTGTATGGTGTTCTCAACTGGGCTGGACTGAGGTGTATATCGTGCTGGGTAAAGTCTTCACAATCTAAATGATGCATAGTGATTTAATGTATGAATAATAATAAAAGTATATATAAATAAAAAATATAAAAAACCCCTCATATTTCTAACATGTTCCCAGGTGAGGCTGATGCTGCTCATTTGAGGACCACACTTGGAGGTTCACTGTTCTAAAACCTGATTCTCAAACCTGGCTGCCATTGGAATCACCACTAGGAGACAGCAAGTGCTGATGCTTGAGCTCCAAGTACCAGAAATCTAACCGAATTGGCGTGGCCTGTACATTATGGATTAAAGCCTCTCCAAGGAACTGGGGAAATTATATATTTATGTTTAGTTTTAAATTCTGGGACCGGCAGTTGCGTAACAGTTACGTCCCTGGACTCCCACGTAGTGGACCTCGGTTTGAATCTCAGACTTGAAACATGCCGGGCGCATGCGCATACATGCCCAAAATCCTGAGAGGAGAATAGAAGAGAAGGGATTGTGGCGTGGCCATTCCCCCTGGGGGGTGATTTCTCACTTTCTATCTCTCTGTCTCTCTGGTGAGCACATGCGTCCTATAGGAAAAATCTCTCTAAAAAATAATAATTCTGTGTTTTGTTTACTTAGGAATAGATGTTTTGACTTTGTGCCTTGTAGATCTTCAGTATTATTTGAATTAAAAAAAATTGCCAAAGGGCATGTGCGCTAATGAAAGGGAGAGAGAGAGAGGGAGAGGGAGAGGGAGAGGGAGAGGGAGAGGGAGAGAGAGAGAGAGAGAGAGAGCTTCCCCACAATGGGGCATAGTCTCGCTCCAATCTCTTCTCTTTCATTTGGGCATGCATGTATATGTGCCTGGTGTGGTCTTTAAGTCTCCAGATCCAGAACTTGAACTTTGCAGTCAATCATGTGAGATCCAGTCACCTTTACCATCCCAGTGCTTGGCCCCGTTTGAATTTTTAACAACAACAACATGTCATTTTATCACTAGCAAGCAAGCATGTGACTATATTCTCATCATTGTGTCCATTTTAATACATATCATAACTGTTTTTGTTACTATTATTATTTTCTATTTTTATAGGCAGGGTCTTATTATGTGGCTCAGGCTAGCCTCAAACTCATGAGCACCCTAAGTAGCTGGGATTACAAATGTGGTTGTAAATTTTCATATATTAAGAAATTAATTTTACTTATTACTATAGAGGATTGAAAAGCCACTATCCTATATTTTGTACTTTATAATCTCTATGTTTTTCTTTAAGAGAGATTTTTGTTATATGGTGTGTGTGCTCACTGGAGAGAGAGAGAAACAGAGAGAGAGAAAGTGAGAAAACACCCCCCAGGGAGAATGGCCATGTGATAATCCCTTCTCCTCCATTTTTCTCTCAGGATTTTGGGCATGCACACACACACACGCACATAAACCTGGTGTTTTTTTTTTTTTTAATTTTTCTTGAGAGTCTTTTGCTATAGGGTGCATGTGCTTGCTGCTTGCTGGAGAGACAGAGAGAGACAGAGAGAGAGAAAGTGAGAAATTACCCTCCAAGGGGGATGTCCACATCATAATCCCTTCCTCTCTATTCTCCTGTTGGAATCCTGGGCACATATGCATACGTGCCCAGTGTGTTTTAAGCTGCTGTGTCCAGGACTCGAACCATAGTTGACTACATGGGAGTCCAGTGACATAACTATTATACCATCTGCTGGTTCCCAGCATGAATTTTAAGTCCCTGGGTCTAGGACTTGAACTGCAGTTGACTATATGGGAGTCCAGAGACGTAACTATTATGCCATCTGCTGGTCCCTCTATTTTTTTTTTTCTACAGTGCAGAAAATTCTACTGATATAATTCCCTTTTCTTTCTAGTATGTATATTCCAGGCATGTATATATAAGTAAATGATCTTTATTCATGTTTCCTTGCCAGTAGAAACTGTAAGTGTGGGCTTATAATGTGCTAGACACTGTGAGAATTAATTTAATTTTACATAACAGGACACTAAAGCTTAGAATTCCAAATTCACAATCAAAAAGTTATGTATGAGGACCAGCAGATGGTATAATGATTACATTGCTGGACTGCCATATAGTTGACAGTGGTTCAAGTCCCATAGTCGGCAGCTTAAACTCATGCCAGGTGCATATGTGTGTATGCCCAAAATCCTGAGAGGAGAATGGAGGAGAAAGGATTGTGGTGTGGCCATCCTCCCGGGGGTTATTTCTTCTTTCTGTCTTTCTGAGCGCATGCACCTTATAGCAGAAATTTCTTTTAAAAAAATAAAGTTATGTATGGGGCCCAGCAGATGGCATAATGGTTATGTTGCTGGACT